CCTCTCTCTCTCTCTCTCTCTCTCTCTCTCTCTCTCTCTCTCTCTCTCTCTCTCTCTCTCTCTCTTTCTCTCGCCCCGTTCTCCCAACCCTCTTTCCCCCACTGCCTCTCTCTCTCTCTCTTTGGTGCTTTCGTCCCCTTTGCCTTTGCCTTTGCCTTCTGCAGCAGCTTCCTTAAACCACCACTACCTTTCCCAGGCAACGTAAGGACTCTAAATTGCTTTCGTCCCCATTCGGGGTTCTTCAGATGAACAGTGCTACTGTGTGGGCCACAATGCTGCGGGCACCAGCCAAAAGACAAAAAAAATGTTGCGCTGATGCTTCAGTAAAGCTTGGTGCGCAGTTCTTTTCCACCTCGGCGAAAAGAGGCTTGGAGGTAGTGCTGGTTTAATCAACTTTAATGTCTGTATTTTTCGTACTAACTGCTGATTGCGAAAGTGCAGAGTGATTAAGGTAAGCAAACAAAAAAATAAAAAAACAAATTGCAGAGTGGTAAAGCCCTTCCTCAAAAGTTTCCGCCAAATTGCGGAGGCAATGTTTTTGTCGGATCTTTAATTTTTTGTCGGATCTCTGAAGCTCGAATATTTCAAATTTTTCTATTCCGTGTCCTTCGTTGAACTTCTGAGAAACTCGAGGACTGGCCAGAGTTTTCACTGTGGCCTTGTCCCCCAGTTTGCATTTGTCCACAGAGAGAGAGAGAGAGAGAGAGAGAGAGAGAGAGAGAGAGAGACAGACAGACAGACAGAGACGAGGATGATGATGTGAGGGAACGTACCTGGTCTTGAAGATGGTCTAGAGGGTCGACATCTTCATGTACTTCAGTTGTTGCTGCTGACGTCAACAGGTTGCATTGTCAATTCGTAGGCTTCTAGTAGCTGTGTGATTGTAGTCTGGGCGCTCAGCGCCAAGTAGGAGGAAGGGCTCTGGATACATATGTTGGTGGTGGCAAGAGTATGCTCTCATTGACATTTGGACTCAGCGCTTTGGTTCTCCGTTGGTGGAATATCAGTGCATTACTGCGTTCTGGACAGCGTTGGACGTGTGCTGGCTTTCAATTTGATTTTGCATTCTGGATTTCTGTCATTTTGCTGTCGCGCATTTTCCTTGCAGTTTGCTTGTTTAAGACCGAACTACACCATAAGATGGCTTAGAAGTTAGAACACGTTCTAAAATAAACAAACCTTCAAACACCGTCATTTTCAAGGGCCGCCGGCCGTCGGGGCTGCATACCACTTTTCCCCCGTCTACTCAAACGGTACCAATTGAGACTTTCCCGGGGGGTGCATCACACGGTCTCACCGCGTGTGAAAACCACACAACTCTACCGTTTTCACCCGAATAGAACGCCCGGTTATTATCGCTGCATCTGGACTGAAAGTTGGGCCAAATGCAGCTATAATGACCGGGTGTTCTATTCGGGTGAAGACGGTAGTCACCCTGATCTGTGGTTCTTCCCCGTCATTCCTAACCCTTTATCACGTCTCACCACACACTAATCGCACATCTGTTATGTGACCAATTGAAACACCGTCCAAAAAAGCATCCGCGCGTTCCCGTACACATGCACAAATGACAAAGCAGACTCGGAGAGAGAAATCCGCTCCAAACTTCCAAAGTGGAATGAAAAAAAATACACAGCGGAAGCTCAACGCCAAAGTAGAATAGAATTGAAATCGAGTTCAATCCTTAAATCCCTCTTCCTCCTCCAATTCAATCAGGTACACAAAAACTGAAAAATCCCCAAATCCCGACTGAGTTTCGACGACCCGGAACATTCTCAAACACTGCTCATCGAGCCACTTTTCTGTATCTGACCCACCTCTTCTTCTCCATACTGACCTGCATTTTTTCCCACTTGGAGAGCGTACTCTTTTCATGCATTGCCGCGTAACTGAGTCAAGTCCCACTAGATCCTGAGATCTTAGTGATTCTTCGTCGTCAGTGATCTTCAGTGGCAGCATTTGTTCTTCTTCTGCAGCTGATTCATTTGGTGTTTTAGGAATAGTTTTTTTTTTTTTTTTAATTATTATTTTAAACAGAACCTTGGGGTTCAGGCTCCTTTTCCATTCTGGGGAGCGTCACTCCGGTTCCTATTCCGCCGGCAAGTCATAAAGGACTACATTGTGTACTCACACATGCTCCTCCCCCTCATGGTGTGAAGGCCTGAAGGACGTCATTGATTGCCTTGGTGTTTTAGGAATAGTAATCTCGGTTTTCGGCTGATTTCGGTCTCGTTGCCCTTTCTTCGAGTGCTCCGGTGTGGAATTTGTTGTTGTTATGCACGCATGCGATCGGAGCTGAATTGGAGTCGGGGGTCATTGCAATGTGGCTGATCGGAATTCTTATAGCAATCTTGTTTGTACTCAAGTTAGGAGTTTAGTTTTGTTAGGAGTTCAGTTTTGTTAAAAAAAAAAAAAAAAAAAGGAGTTGAGTTTTGTCAACTTTTGTGACTTGCTTGACAATTTTCTCTGCGCTATTCTGCAAGGATTTCACACTTCTCTGGACTGAAACTCCATCCATCCTCCATGCTTCCCCCTTCTTTTTCATTTGGACTATCTCACACCATGCTTCCCTTGTGTCTGTCTACCAGGTTCGAATGTCCAAGGTGTGCAGACGACGGCAACCTTCGACAAGCTGACGGACGAGTTTATAATTCACACGCCGAACGATGGGGCGGTGAAGTGGTGGATAGGCAATGCGGCACTGCATGGTAAAATGGCAACAGTTTTTGCACGGCTGAAGCTTCCGTCCTCCTCGTCGTCGAGCATGGAGGAAGACATGGGTGTGCATGCCTTCATTGTGCCATTGCGATCCATGACCGATCATAGCCTGTTCCCAGGTGTCGAAATCCGGGACTGTGGCTACAAGGTTGGCCTCAATGGGATCGACAATGGGGCGATTCGATTCACCAAGGTGCGTGTACCCCGCGATAATATGCTTGACAGATTTGGATCGGTGTCTGCCGATGGAAAGTACAGCAGCCCTCTTCCAACGGCGTCAAAGCGATTTGCGGCCACTCTTGGCGAGCTTGTCGGAGGCCGTGTCGCCCTTGCGTCTGGTTCCAATGGTGTGCTGAAAATGGCCACGACCATTGCTGTCCGCTACTCGCTGTTGCGACAACAATTTGGGCCCCCGAACGAGCCAGAAATTGCGATCCTCGATTACCAATCGATGCAGCAGAAGCTCATGCCGATGCTGGCAAGCACCTATGCATTCCACTTTGCTACCGCTGACCTGATCAAGCGATATGCGGACATGAAGAAGACAAAGGACGACGCACAGGTCGCCGATGTTCACGTGTTGTCAGCAGGCTTGAAGGCTTATGTGACATCCTATACCAACCGAGCAATTAGCATATGCCGAGAGGCATGTGGAGGGCATGGCTACGCTGCAGTTAACCGTCTTGGGGCTCTCCGCAACGACCATGACATCTTTCTCACGTTCGAAGGGGACAACACTGTTCTGCTTCAGCAGGTCAGTTGCTTTCGCGCACCATCATATTGGTTGCCTTGTTGTAGGGAAAACAAACGGACGGAAAGGGTGTGTGTGTGTGTGTGTGTGTGTGTGTGTGTGTGTGTGTGTGTGTGTGTGTGTGAGAGAGAGAGAGAGAGAGAGAGAGAGAGAGAGAGAGAGAGAGAGAGAGA